GGGCAGAGGCGCGGCGACTGTGCCGGGTGGTCGCTTCCCCGGAGGGCGCGGGGTGGCTGGCGTGGGAACGGGGTCACCGGCTGCGCCGGGATTGGGTCGTCAGGGGTGCTCGGCCTGGCATGCACCGGAACCGGGAGCCCAGGATGGGGCATGCGGGAAGACCCCCAGGCTCAGATGTTCGCCGGGCGAAAGAAGTTGGGTAGGAGCAGGGGTGCCCTAGTGTCCCCGGGCGGGGACTGGGGGCGGCATTTGTACCCCGCGCCTGGGACTCCCCCGTGGCTGCTACTAGAAACCTCCTTCCCACAAAATCGGGAGGGGCCGGCCTCTGCCCTCCTGAGGCGGCTGCTGGGCGCTCCTCGGAAACTCCTGCACAAGTTGTCAGGCCGTTGTAGGTTGTGCTGGACGCCTGCTCCTGGGACCCAGGGAGACTTGGAGGGGAGATGGGCGTTAAAATTCCGGGTTAGGTAGTGACCGGCTTTCTCCTCACCAGGTCTGTCTTCTTTAGACACTTGTTTGGAAACAGACTTAAAAAAGCCCGAGGCCTTGGGGCTGGCACAGGCCTGAGGGGAGGAGGGTGGCCTTGCAGGTCAGAAGTGCCACGCTGGCAGCTGACCCGAGTCAGGCCTGGTCTCCAGTGGCTGACTCCATAGCTCCCCACATGCCAGAGGGCTCCAGAAACCCAGCAGATTCGTTTAACTTCTAGGACAACGATTGGGGGGACTGAAAAGGGTGAAGATTTCAGGTGCTGATGGAGGCATAGTAAGATTTTCAAAGGTGGGCTCTCACCCTAGGAACAAACAGGCATGCTGCTTCTCAAATGTTCTTGACTCCTCTGGGGTCTGTAGACCTCGCAGAGCCAGGCTTGGTGGCCCAGGTGGGATTTCTCATGTGGGGTTTCTCATGTGCTTGCCACCTGGACTGGGAGAGAATCTCAGGCCTATGCTGGTGACATTGAAGCAGAGACCCTAAACTGAGATCTTGGGAGATTGGGGGTCACAAAGTGACAGGTCCCCCCTAGGGCCCCTGAAGCCCTGTCCCTGTCCTGGGCTGGCTGGCACCTGTGGGTGGCTTTCCTTCATTCACCTGTGGTGAATTCCCGGGAGTGCTGAGCCTCCGAATCTCCTGTGTTTGGGGGCCCGCCCTCATCCCTGTGGACCCCTTTGGAGAGCTCCATCTCCCCCTGCCATTTGCATCCAAGATGGACTCTCCGCTGCCGCTCCTCCAGCTTCCTTGTCATCATCCCTCACGCCCTCCAGCCCTGCCTCCTGCTCACGGGTTGCCAAGCCGCGGCCTGGCCGGCGGTGGCAGTGGTGGAGTTAGACAAAGCCCCCGCCTCCCCGCCGGAGAGCCCCCCCCAGGCGCCCCAAGTGGCGGGAAGGCCGCCAGCTCCCCAGGCCCAGGCTGCTCTTTGTCTGGTGTGGGGGCGGGGAGCTGTGCCTGGCCCCTGGAGCTGCTGGCCTCTGCCAGGCTCTCCCTTTGCTCGGGGCCCTCCCTGGTCCCCAGCGCACTGTGCATTGTCTAAGATGCGCAGAGATATCCTACGCCTGCCCAGTCTGGGTCTCTCCCAGGCCAGATGCAGCACCCCTCCTGCCCTCCCTGTGTCTGCAGAAGGGAGTGGGCACGAGTGGAACTCAGGGCCCTTCTGCCAACTCTTCTCCACCCACCTGACAGTGAATAAGTGGCTGGTGCTAGCTTGGGATTGGGGTCACCTGCTGTGTTACACTGGTGGGCAAGTCTGCCCTGAGCTGTTGCCCGATTCCCTCTCCGACCCAAATGGAAGATTGCTCAGACCTCCTCTCCTTGAGCACCCTCCCCCCATAACCCCAGCACTATGGCATGATAGGATCGAGACATCCCATTGGGAATCCTTACCTCAAACAGATGGAGAAACTGACACCCAGAGAGGGAAAGTCCTTGTCAAAAGTCACACAGCCAGGAGTGGCCCAGCCAAACTGGCTCTTGGCCCAGCCCCTTATCTGAGAAGCGGGTACAGGGGGTGAGAGACACTGAGAAGTGCAGCACTGGGAGGAGGATGGAGGGGAACCTCCTGTCCTGGGCTGCCAGGGAGTTGGAGTCTTCTCACTAGTATGATATTCCCAGGTGCTGTGCTGCTGCTGGCTCCCCTCATCTGGCATTTGGCACGCTGGCCTTCCCGGGGTCAGTGGGGTAGTGGGTAGTGGGTAGTGGGTAGTGGCAGGATTAGAATCTGGGCCTGGGTTGCAACACCTGAGCTGCCCAGACCACACTCCTGCCCACAGTAGAAGGTTCAGGAAATTGGGATTTGGCTGACTTGGTGAGGGGACTCACTACCCCAGTCTGGCCCTGCACCCTCTGCTGCTTTGTGTGTGTGTGGGAAGCCATCCTAAGCAGCATGCTTAGTGTAGGGACATGGCACCCCCACAAGTGGAAGCTCTCCGCAGCACAGTGGGGGCCAAAGCTGGGCATCCATGCTTATGTGTGAAGCTGAACCCATGGGGAGTCCAGGGTAGAGCTGGGAGAGGTGAGGGGTAGGTTGCTGATTCTTCTGTGCTGTGAAACCCTCTCTGGTTCCAGCTCCTGCAGCCTGAGTTCCAGAACGCCTCTCCTCCCCTGCCCCTCCCCTTGCCCACACCAGATGAGCAGCTGGTGGGTTTGCCCAGCCTGGCACCAGCTGTTGGTCCCGCGGGCCAAGTCTGCAGAGTCCACCATGTGCATGAAAGAGAAGGGTTGGCTCCGGGGGCGGCAGGCAGAGGGGGCCAGCACCTGGCTGCAAGGAGGCTAGGTCAGCTCTCCATGGTTACCGCTGCCTGTAACACTGCAGGACAGCCTTTACCTGCTAATGGCCACTTGGACACCATCATGGGTCTGCTTGCTTCCAACTACAAACAGGAATATGTCCAGTGAGGACCACCCCAACCCCATCCAGGTGGCTTCCTCTGAGCTGAGCCATGCTCTGGGCCACAGACCTGGGACTTCATCTTTGCATTCCATCAGCAGGACCTTGCCCCTCCCCTTTTGGGGCACAGTGCCATCTGGCATAGAATCAGGCCATAAAGAGTCCTGTCCCCTTTTGGGGAGCCATTGACAGGCTCAGAGAGGTTGAGGGGCTTGTCGGAGGATACACGGTGAGACTGTGATGGACTCCAGATTCCTGGCAGGGATTCTAGGGCACAGGTCTGAGCCATTGTGGTCTCAGGTCTTATAGCACTCCTGCCTTCCTCACCTATGTTCTTAGCCTGGGTATGGGCCAGCCTCAGGGCAGTGACTTGGCTCTAGGTTATCAGTCACTGGGGTGTAACAAACCTAGAAGAAGGCGATTGGTGAAGACAGCCAGAGATTGTATTTTGGTGCCAATCCTGATGGCTTGGATGGAGAGAAGTTCTGGGATAGAGTAGCAATGTCTGCTGTGGGTGGGTGTGATGAGGGTGGCCTGTTAGCTCTCAAAACATTTGACCTTAGCCATCAGGCCGAGTGTTTGGCCCTTGACATGAGCAGACAGAATTGACTGCTGGTGATGGCCTGAGTCCAGGGCAGGCACACAGCTGCAGGCCCAAATCCTCAAGGCCTTGGGGACAAGAGACCAAGGCTTGGTAAGTCCTGACTCTACTTTGTTCCCCTTAGCTGGGAGTGTCCACCCACCCTCCACCAGTATGGCCACGTCCTCCCAGTACCGCCAGCTGCTGAGTGACTATGGGCCACCATCTCTTGGCTACACCCAGGTATGATAACAGGGGTGAGTTGTGGCAGTAGGGGCTTTGGGGTTACCTGGGTGTCACCTCACATCCTGGGAGGGGCATCTGGAAGATAGAGAAGCCCCGAGAAATGCCATTTCTGTTGGGCCCAGCACCCCATTGTGTCCCTGGTGGGTTGCCTTGTTCCTGCTTCCTTTTGTCCACCAGCATGCCATAGCTCATGGCCTCAGAGAGGAGGAGGAGAGCCAGCTGAGTAATGATACGTCCAGATGTGTTTCACTGGGGCTGGTGCTCTAAATTCCAGGCCCCACACAGCCCCACACCTATTTTATAACTGGCTCCCCAGAGGACAGGAGACCATGACCCCCATGGTTCTCGCTGAAAACCGGTTCTCTCCCTGTTCAGTGGCGTTGATGCTTGCATGCCCTGCTAGTGGCCAGGTCACTGTCTCTGCAGGGGCACGTGGCCCAATGGACCTCAGCCTTGGTGCCAGCTGCAAGGTTCCCTGTTCCAGCCACGGAACCTAGCCACCTTCTGAGGTTGCCCAGGAGGCGCTTGGTCAAGGTGGTCCTGGCCATGCCCCGCCAGGCCATGCTGTGCCCAGAGGAGAAGCAGGCCCGGGCCCGGGAGCGGGATCGCCTAAAGAAGAGGCGGCGGCGGGAGGACGGGCAGAAGCGCAGCCTTGAGAGACAGCGCAACGCCCTGGCCATGCGGCGGCGGCGGGCAGGGAGAAGGGAGGACCGTGAGGCCAGGAGGAGGTGCCCGGATGACGCAGAGGAGCTGGATCAGGAGAGGAGGGGCCGTGAGCCCAAGAAGCAGAGACGGCAGGAAAGGAGGGAGGAGCAGGCGAGGGCAGTGGACGCCCCAACAGAGGGAAATGAGAGGAGTTGGAGGAGGGGGGTTGGGGGCGGAAGGAACAGGAGGGAGAGAAGTAAGAGGGAGAGGAGCAGGAAGAACAGGGCACAGGCCTGCTGAGCCCAGCTTCTCTGGCCTTTGTGGGGGCTGTTGGTGGGTCTGGAGAGGGGTTTGTGGGGCTTCTGCTGGTGGGGAGGCCAGGCTGGTCTTGGCACACCTGCTGTCTTGCCCCAGACCCTGCACATCTGCCCACCATAGCCCCAGGGAGTATTTCATCTGTTGGGCCCTAGAACATTCTTGGTGGAGCTTTCTTGTTAGGACAAGTGAGTCTTCTCGTCCTGGAAGACGATGAAAGCTCTTTGGCCAGGCAGATGGTTTCCTTGTGCGTGGGTGGCAGAGACCCACCTCCTGATGGGAGAGGCCCCAGCCTGGCCCAGCTCTCTCCCTGGCTGCCCTGGACTCATGGTGTTGGGATCAGGTTGGAGTTACCCCATGTGAACTGTATTCTGATTCTAGGGGACCGGGAACAGCCAGGTGCCCCAAAGCAAGTATGCTGAACTGCTGGCCATCATCGAAGAGTTGGGGAAGGAGATCAGACCCACATACGCAGGGAGCAAGAGCGCGATGGAGAGGCTAAAACGAGGTGAGTCTGGGGCCTCGACTCCCTGAGTGCCGCCTCACTGCTGGGTTACCCTGAAGCACTGGTCTGTTAACTGTTTTGGGAGATTTTCTGGAGGACATGGAGGGTGGGGACAGATGAGTCCCCCCACTACAGGCTGCTGTCCATGATAGTTACCAGGCAGGGTGAGTGGGTGGAGTGGACTGCTTGCCCTTGGGCTTGGACGGGCAGGGACTTGGTAGCCAGTGGTCCTCAGATGGGGCTTCTCGGGAAGGCCTGCCACAGCCTGCAAAACAGGCTCCAGCTGCCAGGTCAGCCACCTGCTTGAAGGGGATGCTGCATCCAGGCTGCAGCCACCCTGGGTCTTGCTAGCCACCCTGGTCCCAGGAAGCCCCATGTGGGTGTTCCCTCCAGGATAAGAGCATTGCCCTGTGTCCTGGGGCCTGCCTGCCTTCTGCTTCTGTATTTCGGTGCAGGGCTGAGGGGGTATATAGGGAGGGAGAGGGAGAGCATTTTGAAGTTCTTTCATGACTGGAGAAGGAGGGTGTGAGGAGGGTGGCTGTGCAGGAAAGAAGGTGACTCGTGCAGATGTGGCTGACCGGAAGTTAAGTAGGTTGTTACCTCACAAGGTAAAGGGGAGTGCAGGAGAGAAAGGGGCTTCTATTTTAGAAGGTGGCAGTTCAGAGCAGCAGTGTCCTAAGTGCTAGTTTAATTTCGGCAGGCATTTGGGTTCTTAGAGAAGCAACTTGAGAGAAAAATAAGAACGTTCTTTGGTCATAAATTTGGGGTGTGGGGTTGTGGGCTGTCTGGAGACTGTGACTTGGCTGTGCCTGACTAGGCTCCTCTACCTGGGGCTGTGGACACCTTTGTGAAATGACTGCTGGAAGAGCTGGACAGGGGTGGGGGAGAAAAGGGTGACAGACCCAGGCTGGGGGGTGGGGGGGAACCGCAGCATGGAACTGAATGAACTTTGCTCTGACCCTGGTGCCAGGTGGGCATGGCTGGCTGGCTGGTCTGTTTGGAGTCAGAGGAAGCAAGGCAGGTAATGAATGCTGGATACCTGAGTGGAAATACCTAGAAGACAATGGGCCCCAAATCTAACTGACCATATGCTGTCACCCCCAAACAGCTGGTGGTTCAAGTCAATGGAGGAATAGCTAGTGACCATATCCTGGGCTGTCAGGCAGTCTTTGGAACCCTGACAGTGGGGAAGGGTCGCTCAGGGCCTGATGGGAGGCCAGCAAACTACAGCCAAGTATGACCTCTACAGTTTTTAATGGTTGAAAAAATGTACGATTATGTGGCACATGAAAATGGTGAGATTTGCTTCTGGGTCAGGCATGTGCAGTCATGGAACACGCTACCCCCTCGGCTTAGTATCAGGCTGCTTTCACCACGCAGTGCAGACCTGGGTGCATTTACTTAGGTAAATGCAGACATGGGTGCCCGAGTCTAGTCTGCAAAATCCAAGGTATTTGCTGTCTGGCCCTTTCCAGAAAGAGGGGTCTGAAGCTTTGAGGTAAAATTTAGGGGTGTTATTTCCAAGACCCACTGGAGTTCTACCTTAGAAGGCATACATGAGAGTAGCATTGACCTGTGATCTCATTTTTTGCCAGTAGAGGCAAAACAACAACAACAAAAAGCTAACAAAGAGATGGGGGAGTCCTCGGTCAGGAGGGTAAGGTCCCCAGGGGGCTAGGGGAGCACTCCAAACAGCCACCTTGCCCCTAACACAAGCAGTCTGCCTGAGGCTGGATTCAGATGAAGCTAGAAAAAGCAAGGATGGAAAGTGGTGTCTTGGGAGTGGGTCAGTCCCAAAGAAGTTGGGTGGAGACACATTTGCTCCCTCTGCCCAGTGGCCCACCACAAAGGGCGCCGCAGGTCACTACCTTGAATGCGGGGCAAGTTTGAAGAGTTTTGGCTTGCAGAAAAGGCCTTGGGGCAGGCACTGGAACTGTCTGTGCCTTTTCAAACACTGGAATATGGGTGGTCTGAATACAGGCCCGAGTTCCCTTGGCAGGGGCGGGAGAGAGTGGTCTCTGGCTGGACTGAGATCCTCTTCCTCCTCGTGAACCTGTGTCTGCCGGCCCTTCCCAACACACGTCTGCTTCTCTTCCAGGCATCATTCACGCCAGAGGGCTGGTTCGAGAGTGCTTGGCTGAGACAGAACGGAATGCCAGGTCCTAGTTGCCTCCTTCGCCTGGAAGGTTTTCCATCTTCTTCCAAGACAGGAAGTTACAGTTCATCTCCCCTGTTCAGAAGAAACTCTTGTTTTCAAAATGGTTACAGTTTGGTTTTTCCTCCTGCGCCTCTCTCATGACTCATTAGGCTCTGAACCTACAGTGTCTAAGATTGAGAAAAGATTTTGGCAGTGGATTAGGGTTCACATTTTAAATAGTTAGCAACACCCAGGCTGGTTTTTTTTTTTTTTTTTTTTTTTTTAAAGCATTGATTCTCAAGATGCACGTCAGGGTTACCTGTCAGGGTTACCTGTCTCACCTTGGACTGGCTGCTCCTGGCACCAGGCCAGGTCATCCCCTTCCGTTACCCAGAGGGTCTTTTGTTCCCTTTCATAAGCTAATCCAGCTGACAAGGGTGTTGAGTGCCCTCCACAGTACCTTCCTTAGGAGCCTGTCCCTTCTGTCATACAGCGTCCCTTTTGTCATACAGCGTAGATTCTGCTTCATGTAACTTCTTTTTTGCTTAAGCATTTGCATGACTATTAGTACTTTGAGGTCAACTTAAAAAATGCACAAGTTATAAATACAGAAGAAAGAGCAACTACCAAACTACCATGCCTGACCCCAAGACGTTCCCACTGAGACTGGATGCAGGTTCCAGCTCTGCCTTTCTGGAAGTTGGTGCACACATCTGGAAGAAAATGACTAAAATTGTTTGCATCTTTGTATGTATTTATTACTTGATGTAATAAAGCTTATTTTCATTAACAATTTGTATGAGGATGTGGGCTCCTTAACCACCTAAGTGGGGTTTTAGAGAACAGCACCTCACTGAGAGGTGGGAGGTATTTTTCAAGGGGTATTTTCCTGCTAGACCCAGACTTTGAGTGTGCACCTGCCCCGCGGCTGACAGATGAATGCTGGAACAAGGAAAAGAAGATTGGGGGCTCCGCTGCTGACTGGTTGTTGTGGTTAAGGCACCTAGCCTGTAAGCATTTCCTGGGTGACATAGGAGTTTGTTTTTCAAGTTACCACCCAGCTACATCTGGGGCTCCCTGTAAGAACCACCTGTTCTGATGCTGGGGAAACACTGGATGTGGTGGTCTGTGAGGATACCTTCCAAAAGGGTTTGCTATAATATGGCTCTTTCTCAAGCACTAATTCCGCTTGAGAAGGATTTGCCTGGCCAAGGGGCAGACAGACCCGTGAGGGATCTTGCTGGTGTCACCAGTAGATGTTGGGGCCTAGTCTTGCCACACAGATGCCAGCTGAGCCAGACAGCTGACAGCAATGGGCCTAACTGCAGCAGTGTGCCCTGTACCTGCCGCGCCTTTTCACCTTGTGGGCTTTCCCCTTGTTTTAGGAATGGACTCCAGATGTGTCCTAACAAGCTGCCTATTAATCTCACCTAAGAGAAACTACAAACAATGAAAGTTCAGATCCAGTTGGGTGATGGTATTGGGCAAGTTCATAAATAAATCAGGTTTCTGGAACCTCATTTCTTATAAGCCCACTAGTAAATCAACACACAGGGAATGTCACAGATGTATTCCCCTAACAGAGAGGCTAGTTGGCAGTACCTGGACTATTTAGCTAACGGTAAAAATTCCTGACATAGAGCTTGTGAATCTTCCTCTGTCTTGTCACCTTCACCTGACATGAAGCTAACTGAGATGCTAGGTTGCCGAGTGGGGACCTTCCAGCAGACAAGGTGGTCATTGAATGCAATTAATGTTTGACATTTCAAAAAGTCTCCATGTCTTTATTAATATGGATACTTTAAAAAGTTGTTTTATTTCTAATCTTTTATAATAAAGATCACTTAAGCATGTAGTTTAAAAAAACAAGATGGCCTCCTTATGAGTGCACCTGGAAGCCCCTCCCAGACTGCATCTGGAGGATAGCCCTCACCTCCCCTGGAAGTAGACATTCTCCTTTACAGTAACAACCTATTTCTTCATGATTCATATGTGCGTTTCGATTCATGTGTGCATCTCAATTCACGATGACTTTAGTCCACCATTTGAAAGCTTGGCTAGCTTACATCTGTCAAAAATAGTCTTTTCAAAGCTTGACCGTAAAGCTGGCTGGTGCTGGGACTCACCACCCTTAGACCGGGCAGTACCTGGCAGGTGCTTCTTCCTCAGTGGCTGCTTTTACATGATTCCCATTGTTCTTTCAGTAGTTTCTTTTTCACTAGGGTATCCTTTGTTCTTCTTTTCTTTTCCTGCTTTTTTTTCTCTGCCTCTTGCTTTTCTCTGTAAACAGGGCTGTCTTCCCCGTTGTAGAAGACGTCCACTTTTTCTTGCAGGATTTTCCGAGCTAGCTTTCGGTTCTGATCCACAGATCTTGTCTGATGGCACTGCAAGGGAGAATATTTTTGAATGTGAAGACGACAGGATGTTCTGGACAGAACCTCAGAAATTGGGCTCTCCCTGGTGACACTGGGTTGAAGCACAGCACTATGAAGCTATTTGCAGCCACTACAGCATGAATTTGATCCCTGGCTAAGGAGGTGACCGCCCGGGGTGTGGCAGACCACTCCTGTGCCCCCACTGCTCCCCTCAGCAGTGTATTTCAGTCAACCTGCCTGTTTTGCTCCCCACTCTGTCTCTGGTGAATCCTCTCACCACCCCCGCAGGTCTGGCCTGTGCCCCAGTTCTTGTATGCATAAATAAATAAATCTTTAACAAAAAAAAGAACCTCAGAAAGCATCCAATTCAGCCTGGTCACTTTACAGAGGGGCACAGGCTTGTGAGGCAAAGCCACATGTCCAGAAGCCCAGGGATCAGTGAAGGACGGAGCCATCCTTTTGCCCCTTATTGCCTGTGTTTGTCTGCCCTGTGCCACCTTGGTTGTGCCAAGTGGCTTTCGCTGCTGTCGTGAAAACCGAGAATGAATGAGTAGCGAGTTGCTCAGGCCAGTGGCAATCACACAATCCTGTGACACTAAGGTGTCACTGTCAGTATTGCTGGCACACACACCTGCCTCAGCCATCTCTTTTCCCCTGGTGCTGCCCATAGGCCCACTGGCAGTTCTACTGAGAGGCAGGGGGGTGAATACCAACATAGATGAAGGAGCACATCACCATGTAGAGGTTCTCACGTGTGCTGAAAGCTGCTGCTACCTGAGCCTAGTTCTTTATCCAGGGACGGGGAACCTGTTGTGGCCATGGTGCCCGGCATCTTTCTTCTGAGGCTGAGGCTTTGCCGCCACTACCTTGCCCTCCTGCAGAAGGGTGGGTGTCACCGACATGTACCAAAGGGGACAGAGGGACACAGAGGCCTTTCTAAAGTGAATTAGCTGGGGCCCTGGGGCTGAGCCAGCCTGCATCACTGCTCAGGGACTTGGAGCCCACCCAGCACTGCACAGCCCTCTGCAGCAGAGCTGCTGCACCAGGCCCGCGCCGAATGCCAGCCTAGGATGGCAGCGCTCCTATGCTGCCAGGATTCTGGAGCCCTGGGGAGGATGGGCCCACGCAGGCTGGCCTGTGTGGACACTTGCTTTCACTGCCACCCTTCCCTCTGGTGACAGCTACTGTGGGCCTGACAGCCCATTAGAGTGGCACCTGTGCTCCTCTATCTACCTTGACCACGATGCCTGAGGGGATGTGCTTGAGCACCACACAGTTGCTGGTTTTATTGGTTGCTTGGCCCCCTGGGCCATGTCCTTTGACAAACTGCTCCTCGAGATCCCCCTCGTCCAGGGCAAGCAGGGTAGGGATGTCCTTCTTGCCAGCCCTCTGCACTGGAGGGGTGGCTGGGCCTGGGGAGAGCCAGGCTGGCCTCTCCCGCAGCTGCTGTTCCCAGGGCGCTGCGCGCAGCCTGGCCAGACAGGCTGGAAAGCGAAATAAACTTGAGGTACTCATCGGGCCCAAGGCCAAGCCTGGTCAGCACCTGCATTAGACAAGAGAAACAGCCTTTTAGGGAGAGGCATGTGCTCTGGACTCAACACCATGCCTCAGGTTCTAGGGAGCCTTAGAGAAACCCATTCAGATGCTGACCCCCCACCTGCCAGGCAGGGGTTCAGGAAATCAGGAAGGCAGGTTAGTCAGCCATGCGCCCCCTCCTCCCCTGGGCCTTGCACCTTCTACAGTTTTCCGCAGTACACGCCTGCCAGTGAGTATTCCCTTCTAATAGGCCAAAAATATCTTCAAAGCACCCAGAGGTGCTGTTTTCTCAGGAAAGGGAGGCTTGGAGTGTGAAATTTAAAAGAACAGGGCTGTAATTTGATAAAGAAATATTAAATAATACATCCAGGAAGAATTAGGAGCTGAGTCAAGTGGAGTCTTTGAATCCAAATGTAAAGACGGCAGGCTGAGTGTCTAGTTTCTAACTCAGCTCGAACAGTCTGACACAGTAAATATCACTATCAATCAATGTCATCATTGTTGTTTTTAATGTTTCCAGTTTTATGGATTTGAATAGGAACATCTGTTCCCTCAGACACTCTGCCAGTAACGAGATCCAACTGGTTCTCACGGTTGTAACTACTGAATCCAGGATTCCTAGGAAGGTGCCTATAGATTAAAAATGGCCTGTGGGAGTCCAGGGGGCACTTGGAGGTGAAAGAGCGAGCAAGACTGTCTTCACGGAGCTTAGGGTCCACTGGGGGAAGACACCAGAGTGAAGGTGGTATAAAGTCAGATACTTAGTATTACTTGAATTGTCAAGGTGGCTGAAACAGGTGATAAATGAGGAGAGATGCCAGCTAGGAGGGTTTGGTGCATCTGCTGGCCTTTGTTCCTCTGGGGGCAGGAAGGCAGGAGGATATGAAGTGTTAGTACTTCTCAAAGGTCTACGTGAGAATGGGGTGAGCCATAACCTGGGCTGTTTTCTGATCTGGAAAATGGGTGATTATTCCTTTCTCCATCCGGACAGGATTTTAAAGAGCAGAGAAAACTGTTTTGGAAAGGATTTGTCTTGGGTTGGCATCACTGAAGGCAGAAGGATGGTGTTAGGCACCATCCCTATCCCCCAGGTGGAACAACAAGTGTGCTTGGTGCCTCCTGATGGAAATTTCATGGCCACTGAGAACATATATATGTTTTTTTTTTTAAAAAAAGATTTATATATTTATGCATACAGAACTGGGGTAAAGGCCAGAGTTGCAGGGACAGTGAGAGGATTCACCAGAGACAGAGTGGGGGAGCAGAACAGGCAGACTGATAGTGCTGAGGGGAGCAGCAGGAGAGGTCAGCTGTGCCATGTGGATCACCTCCAGGGTGGGGGATTGAACTCGCACTAAAGCAGCTGTGGCTAGCTTGCAGTGCTGCATCCTAACCCACTGTGCCACCAGGGAGGGCCCAGTTTTTAGCAACTGCTTCCTAGGGGGCTCTGAAGAGCTGCTTTTACCATTTGAACCATGTCCATTTGAGTTCATGGCATCTGGCCTTCAACATAGTAAAGGGAGTCTACCTTAGCAACTCCCAAAGTCAGAAGTGACTTAACATACACCAAAGTATTTCACCAGTTTGGCTGGACAGTCATTTACCTTTCACCTGATGTCAGTTTTAGCTGCCAGTCTACTTGACTTATCCTGATCTCCAAGTAAGTGCTGAAGGAGTTTAATGAGGACAGAAGCTACTGGCCTTGCTGCCTTGTAAATAAGTGCATTTTCCTGTTATTTTATGTGTGCATCACAGTGATCAGTTTAGCTGATGCTGTGATACACTGGTTATCTTGAAAATGATTCACAGTATGCGCTCCCTGGTGGTGCAACGGGTTAAAGTACAGCACTAGAAGCTAGCCACAGCCACTTCGGCACAAGTTTAATCCCTGGCCAGGGAGATGATCCACATGGTGCTGCAGACTTCTCCTGTCTTGTCTGCTGCTCCCCTCAGCCGTGTACTTCATCAACCTGCCTGTTCTGCTCCCCACTCTGGTGAATCCTCTCACTGCCCCTGCACCTCTGGCTTGTACCCGTTCTGTATGCATAAATAAATCAATCTTTAAAAAATAATAAAAAGATTCACAGTACATTTTTTTACATGTAGAACTGGGGTGCAGGCCAGAGGTGCAGGGGGGTGAGATGGTTCACCAGAGACAGAATGGGAAGCATACTAGGTGGACCACCTGAAGTCCAGTGCTGAGGGAGCTGCCGAGAAACAGGAGAGGTCTGCTGTGCCATGTGGGTCAGCTCCCTAGCCAGGGGTCAAACTCAGGCCATTGAGGTGACAGCACTGAGACCCAACTCCTAGGCCACCAGGGAGTCCCTGATTGACAGTATACTTCACTTCACTATTCTATGAAAAATATAATGAAATATACATTTGCAGGTCTTACACCTGAGCTCATTCTCACTTCTGTGACAGACATTACAGTCTAAACTCCAGTGTTTGTAAAGTCTGGCCTTGGGCACCTTTTGTTAAGGCCACTGGGTGACAAGGTGGCACTGGTAAGGGGTGAGTGGCTTTGCAGGGATTTATTTTCAAGTGTGCTCATGGAAGGGTTCTTTCAAATGGGTTTTGCTTCTTGTATAAAAGATTTCAGAATTAGCTGTAGGAAAACCTAATCGACCAGTCCACACACTTCCTTTTAAAAGTCGACAACAAAGAATCTGCTCTCCGATCAGGGATGGAGTGAACGAATCTAGGTCGATGTCCAAAATTCTCCTTTCCTTATTTCTGCTTTCAGTCTACAGAACAGAATTCCTTTGTGTCTCACTGTGTCTAGTCCCCGGATTGGACTGATCATGGAACATGAGCCTAGTGCCTCTCTGGGCTTCTCTTCCGCTGTCAGTCAGCCACCCCAGGCGGGACAGCATGGTCACAGAGCGGTGACAAAGGAAGGAAGCGAGTCTAAGACAGGCGAAACTCCCAGACAAAGGCCAGAGGAGCGCTTTTATCAGCAGCTCTGTCGCCAGCCCGCTGAGCTTTGCATCGCTCCCTTCAGTCCCAGTTCAGAGCTGACACGCATACACTGGATGCTCTCCCACCCAACTGGAGTTCAAGAAGGTCCCCGGTGTTCAGTTACTGGCTGTTTTGTGTAACAGCTAATTCCAACAGCCAATGGGACGATTCTAAGTACTTTTAGTATCTCCTGAAGCTTTGGCTATACGCCAATGACTGCTAAAAATGACAAACACACCCATGGTCCCACTTCCCCAAAGCCCTGAGAAGAGTCAGGATTGGATTTCAGTTTTTGTGATATCCACAGAGCAACCCAAAGTCTTTGGGGAACAATAAAAGCAGCTCAAATCAGAGCTCAACGTGACTTTAGAAAAGGAAAAATAGTCCAAAAAAGCCAGTATGGGGTGGGGGAGGGAGGTGTGGTCACGACAGGGACTCCCTTCTGAGGCACGTACAGGCTGGCTTCCCTCACTACTTGCCATCAGCTCTGCTTGTCCTGGGATGCCAAGCCTGCACTGAACAGCTGAACGCAGTTTAGGTTAATCTCGGAGTCCATTCCAAGTCGGTCAAGTTAAAGAAAATAGGAATGAGTTTTTCACAGCCAGAACAGTCCACTTGCCCAGTCCTCTGGTGCCATGTGTGGGCCCAGGGGCCACCTGGCACAGCCCAGGGTGGCTAACAGGTTGTAGAGGCAGTTCTCGTGCTCTGTTATGCCCCCACTTCTGGAGGGCTGGGTTTTGGGTCTTGGAACCTGCATCCAGCCAGTGCCCATCCTCTCCTCTGGCTTCTGTGGTCAGCCCCAACCAAAACAGGCATCTAGCGGCAGTGTGACATGGTCGGCTCTGGGAGGGTGTGGAGCAAAGCACCACAGACCAAAACTAGAGGCAAGCAGGTGAGGCTTGTTTCTCTGGCTCTCCTGTCTGGATAGCAGGATTCCTGCTCAGGAAAATAGAGGATTGCAATCTCCGTATTTACCTTTTGGAGGCTATTTGTCTAAAATTCGCTTCTTCTTTTTTTTTTTTTTTTTTGTAAAGGAAGAGTACTAGTTTCTGTCAGCCAGCCAGATTTCCTGAGGGATCCACCTTGCAGTGACTTCATCACAACCACACAAAGGAACAGATGTGCAGATTAACTGAAATGGGTGCTTTAGGAAAGAGGACTACAGAAGCTCTGCCAGCCAGGCCACTAAAACTTTCACTGTGCAGACGCATCCTCTGGGGAGCTTGTTAAATCAGCTCCTGGCTCATTAAGCCTGGGGCGAGGCCTGAGACTCTGCATTTCTAAGCAGCTCAAAAGTCATGCTGTTGCTGTTGACCTGGGAGCCCCTCTTTAGATGTCAGGGCTTAGGGTTCTGTCTGAGGGTGCTGCATCTAGCTGGCTCCTGAGCCAACTGCTGGGTGAATGCCCCAGAGTGGTGGTGGTGACAACGGAGAGGAGTGTTGCAGGACTGTGGGGGAGGGGGATGTGGTGTGGGGAAAGGAAAACAGAGAAAAGAGTCAAATGAATGCTGATTTGAGTTACCAGGGAAGGCAGAGTGGTAACAAGAGGATTGAGAAACTGGGTCATCTGAAAAAAGAATACCCCAAAAGCCCCTTTTATTGCAGTGTTTGCCAACAGGAATATCATGCAGGTTATAAGTGAAATCCTATTTTCTGGTATCATGTTAAAAATATTAAAAGAAACAAATGAAATGAATTTTAACAGTTTATTTAACCAAATATATAAAAAATTATTATTTTACCATGTAACCATATAAAATTGAGACCTTCTGTTCTTTTTTTACATGCAGTCTCACATAGCATATGCCAAATAAACTAGCCACATGTGCCAGGTAGATGTGGCTCCAGAATTTTCCTACTCAAAGTGTGATCCACAGAGCAACAGCAACAGGGAGCTTGCTAAGAGTGAACAATGTCAAGTTGGACCCACACCTACCAGATGAGAACCTCCATTTTAGTAAGATCCTTAGGGGATTCAGAGGCATACTAGTTTGAGAAACACTGTCCTAAAACACAGAACTAGCAAGTCTTGTAGCTTCTAGGACAG